GGACTTCATCGAAGTACATTTGTTAATGTCCGTGCGAATATCAACCAAGAAAAACGATCTAATAAATTTCAATTTCCTTCAACAAAATAAAATCCGTTATAATCATCTTATTCTACTTAAGAGCACTCAGAATTTGAATCCCACATTATTTACATGAAGAGGAGAAATACATTGAAAGTACATTTCAAGTTTCTTCAATAGTCTAATTATTTTATATTCAATTATTGGTCCTGATCTGGCTTCAGTCACTTTCCCAGTGCCGTAAATTTGTCACCCTTTGCCTTTTCTATAAATGCTTTCACAATAATTTTTCGGGTGATCTTTTCGCTATGTTACCGAGACTGTTTTAATTTAAGCGCAGTACTAACTTACGACTAAGTCTCACCAATTCACAAGTGAACTGGATAGATGTAACTGTAAATTCTATACTAACAGTTTCTCTTCTTGCTCTTCTCGATTGTGGAACACCCTTTGGGCCCCATGCTTCCCAGTCAACTTTAATCTTCAAAAGTTTACAATGTCAATCACTATCTACTGTCCTCATGATTACTCTCTCTGTTTTCACTCATAGTAATGTTTTTGTTTCTAATTGTTTCACACCCCTTGTGTCTCGCTTGGAAGGGAACTCGATTAGAAAAAAAATGCGAAATAAAAGGCTCATAAAATATGAATCTAAGTAAAAGATTATATGAACACAAAAGGGACATTTTACAAAACAACACATTAAATGAATTTATTGCTCACTATAACGAGACTGATCCCAATTTTGATATAAAAAACTACTCTGATCAAAGGAAGAAACAAGTCAAAAAGACGAAGTAAATTGGCGCTCAGGCTCTTACAATATTTCACAATTCCTGTCAGAACTTCAATTATCACAGTGTGGGTGGGATATCCAATAACAAAAGTAATGGAAACAAAAAGAAAAAGAATCTAAATTAAATCAGCTGGATTATATACACATCACACACAGAAAATATTTAAATAATTTAAAATTCAGAACTCCCAGCATCCCTCGTTCTTGCGCATGCGTAGTCGCACCAATGTAAACAAATTTAGTCCGATGAAGTCCTAAAGGACGAAACGCGAAACACAAAAACTTTTTTCCACTTTGTCATGCATATATATATATATATATATATATATATATATATATATATACACTATTTTCACCCAATACAGGGCTCAAGATCCACTCAAGGTAGAGCATTACTGAATGAGGCTGTTGTATGAACGTAAGAAGAAGTCAATAAGTGAATATTACGAGGATATGTAGGACAGAAAAAGGTTGACCCTATACTTGGTTAGGATCGTGGTGATCGGGAAAGCATTCCCTCCGGAGTCTCCTCCACAATGTAACAGTTCTTTGGAATATAGGTTTTTCAAGTCCCTAATTGCTATCGTACTTTCTAGTTTTGGTAGGAGTTTCCGTCCTAATTTTTTGCTTTTGTTAGTGTGGAAAGTCAACATCTTCATTTTATTATTATTTTTATATCAAAATTGTAATCAGTTTCATTATGGTGAGCAACAAATGCATTTAATGTGTTGTGCAAAATGTCCTTTTTGTGTTCATGTAATCTTTTATTTAAATTCCTTGATGTTTCTCCTATGTAGTTTTGTGACAATTATTACAGAAGGTCGAGTAAATCCCTCCTTCAAGTTTTAGCATTTTGTTTTGCTAAGTATTGACTAAGTCTATTATTGTTTTAGATGTAGTTGTAAGAAATTTTATGTTGAATTTAGGTCGATACCTTTCAAGTGATAGAGTTAATTGATAAGACAATATATTTTTTTGCTTCATTCAGGTTTGTCAGGAGTGGAGGCCGTTTTTCTATGTTGGAATATTTTATGAGCCTTTTCTTTCACTTTTTTTTTCTTTTTTAATCAAGTTCACCCTCATACAAGGCAGTAAAGCCACTGAGACACAAAGGGTTACTGGGTGTGGAAGAGTTAAAAATATTTATCGGTTTTAGTTGTTGCCGCTGTTGGAAGTCTTTAAATGATGTGTTTTTTGTTCTTTGGTAAAGTTTTTTATTTGTGATTCCGTAGCATCGATTTGTAAGATCAGATGAAGGATTGTCTTTAAAACCCAAAGTATTCATTCGCTTGGAGACATTTTTAATCATTGATCAAAGAAAACAGTAGAATATATTATCGATAATAGTTTACACATTTCGGAAAGAATTGGACACCACACGCGACATCCATATTGTTTAAAATCTTCACCAGATGGAAAAGTCAATATAAAATCCTATTGGAGGATTTGTAATCTCCCCATCACCACCGCCTAGCAAAAAAAAAAAAGAAAAAAAAAGACACAATGCTTATTCGAATATTTCCCTCTGACTCATCGAGTGGCATGGCGCCCGCTGTTTATCGTTTTGTTCTACCCTAGTTTATTTTGATTTTGCTTAGTTTTCATGACTATTGCTGTCGGCAGGTGTGTTTCAAGATAAAGCGTCGGATAGAACGATAATGCCAAATAGTGCTTTCTCGTTGTGACTTCAGTGAGAAGTCAAAATAGGACATATCAATGGGAGACTAAATTAAGCATGACAGAACTATGAATAGAGAACGATATTTATTTGGCTAGAGAAACACAGAAAATCTAG